TAGCAGGATATAAAGTAAGCCCACAGCATTCCTTTATATAACCAACAGGATTCTTCAGGAAGAGATAGCTAGGTAAAATAACTATAGACAGCATAAAATACCTGGGAATACAAATATCAAAAGAAACCCAGGATCTATATGAAGAAAACCCTACAAAAATTCTTACACAAAAAATCAGATTGAAATAAATGGAGAAATATTAATTGTTCATGGGTAGGCAGGGCCAATATAGTAAAAATAACCATTTTACCAAAATTAATCTATATATTTAATGCCATACTAATTAAATTACCAAAAATAGTGTATAAAGCTAGAAAAATAAAGTTTTCTTAGGCTGGAAAAATGTCTCAACCCAAACTTTTTATTGGATCTGGCATTCAGAATGTTTAGAGGGGAATGTTGGGAGAATTCTGTTGGGTGGCTGCCCCTAATCTATCATTTTGTCTCTGTCTCTCTAGGAAGATGTTCTGTCCCATTTGTTCTTATTTTATGACTTTAGCAAACAATTCTAAAAGATAATTAAATCTAGCTGGCTGTTAATCAGTGGGGATCATATTGATGGGAGCTCATGAATAATAGTGAATGAAAAACAATCTTAGCCCATCAGACTTGCACCTATAATGCTGAGGGGGAAAGTAGCCAATCAACCTTTCAGCACCATGCCTGCTACTTTAGTTTCATAGGATAAGTGAACTCCAAACTGTGTTTATATTTATTTATAATTCAAGGTATTAATAGGTTAACTTTCCAGGTCAGATTCTACCAGGTAGAATACTAGAGTGATCTCCCCTATTTCCCCAATAGGGAAGAAAACCCACTCTCTGTTGCTGTCATGGTTCACAGAGATAAATTCTTTTGTGTATTAGATAGATCATACCACCTTAGAAGAATTGAAAAATTACAAGTCCCCAGAATTATCCCTGAAAATAGTTGCACAAAAAAACCTGAAGCTTGGGATAGTGCCCCCTCCACTCCTGAAAGAGAAGCCTACTTTATCATAGAGTTAAAGCCAAGAAGTAGGCTGGAAAATGAGCAAAGAGCAGACAAAGATCCCAACTATAGAAAGCTACTATGGTGACAGGGAAGATCAAAACACAAACTCAGAAGAAGACAACAAAGTCAAAACTTCCACATCCAAAGCCTCAAAGAAAAATATGAAATGGTCCCAGACCATGGAACAGCTCAAAAATATTTTAAAAAATCAGGTAAAAGTGATAGAGAAAAAATTGGAAAGAGAAATGTAAGTGATGTGAGAAAATCATAAAAAAAAATAGTCAAGAGCTTGGTAAAGCAGGCACAAAAATACTGAAGAAAATGACAACTTAAAAAACAGAATAAGTCAAATAGTAAAAGAGGCACAAAAATCAAATGAAGAGAAGAATGCCTTAAAAAGTAGAATTGGCTAAATGGGGAAAAAGAGCCCCAAAAATCCACTGAAGAAAAGAACACCTTAAAATAGTAGAATTAGTAAAATGGAAAGGGAGGTACAAAAGCTCACTGAAGAAAATAATTCCTTAAAAATTAGAATTGAGCAAGTGGAAACTAATGGCTTTATGAGACATCAAAAATAAAATAAAACAAAATCAAAAGAATGGAAAAGTAGAAGAAAATGTTAAATATGTCATCAGAAAAGCAACTTACCTGGAAAACAGATCTAGTAGATGTAATTTAAGAATTATTAGACTACTTGAAAGCCATGATCAAAAAAAAAAAAGAGCCCAGATAGTTCCTTTCAAGAAATTATCAAGGAAAATTTCCCTGATATTCTAGAACTAGAGAGTAAAATAGATCCTCTCTTTAAAGAAATACAAAAATGAAAACTCTCAGGAATATTATAGCCAAAATCCAGAGCTCCTGGGTCAAGCAGAAAATATTGCAAGCAGCCAAAGAGAAACACTTCAAATATCATGGAGCCATAGTCGGGATAACACAAGATTTAACACATTCAACATTAAAGTAACAGAGGGCTTGGTCTATGATATTCTGGAGATTAAAAGATCAAAAGTTACAACTAAGAACCACCTACTCAGCAAAGACTTTCAGAAATTCCTCATGAAAAGACCAAAGCTCAATAGAAAATTTGATTTTCAACTGCAAGGCTCAAGATAATCATAAAAACATAAACAGGAAAGAGAAATCATAAGAGATTTAATAAGGTTAAACTGTTTCTATTCCTATATGGGAAGATGACACTTGTAACTCCTAAACAAAACTTTATCATTATTAAGTCAGTCAGAAGGAGGATATATAGACACAGGGCATAGGTGTGAGTTGAATATGATGGGATGATTATTTAAAAAATAAAGTTAAGGGTGAGAAAAATTAATGCACAGTGAGAAAGGGAGAGATAGAGATAGAATTGGGTATATTATCTGACATAAGGCACAAAAGAATTTTTACAGTGGAGGAGAAAATGGGGGAGGTGGGGAGGAGTGCATGAACATTATTCTCATTGGAATAGGTTCAAAGAGAGAGTAACATACACACTCAGTTGAGTATAGAAATTCATCTTACCCTACAGAGAAGTAGGAGGGGAAGGGAATAAGACAAGAATAAGGGGAGCTAATAGAAAAGAGATTGGATTGGGGGAAGTAAAAGTCAGAAACAAAACTCTTCTGAGAATGGACGGGATGAAAGGAAAGAGAGAGTGGGATAAAAATGGTGAAGATAGGATGGAGGGAAATACATAGCATTCATAACTGTGAAAAAATGACAGCAAGTTTCTCTAATAAAGACCTTATTTCTCAAATATATAGAAAATTTAACTAAATTTATAGAAATAAGAACCATTCCTCATTGATAAATGGTCAAAGTATATAAACAAGCAGTTTTCAGATGAAGTAATCAAAGTTATCTATAGTTATATGAAAAATGCTCTAAATCACTATTGATTAGAGAAATGCAAATTAAAACAACTCCGAGCTACCAGCCCACACCTATCAGATTGGCTAATATGACAGAAAAGGAAAATGATCAATGTTAAAGAGGATAAGGGAAAATTGAGACACTAATGCACTGTTGGTGGAGTTATGAACAGGTCAAATGATACTGTATAGTATTCAGAACTACGTCCATAGGGCTATAAAACCATGCACGTAGCTTTGACCAAGCATTCCCATTACTAGGTTTGTATCCAAAAAAAAAGTAAAAAAAAACAGAAGGAATTTTATATGTACAAAAGTATTTACAGCAGCTCTTTTAGTGGTGGCAAAGAATGGGAAATTGAGGTGATGTCTATCAATTGGGGAATGCCTAAACAAGTTGTTATATATGATTGTGATTGAATACTATTGTGCTATGAGAAATGATGAGCAAGATGCTCTCAGAAAAACCTGTAAAGACTAAAGAGTTACATGAACTCAAGTGAACTGAAATGAGCAGAACCAGAAGAACATTTTATACAGTAACCAAATTGAATGACTTAACCCTTCTCAGACAATGATCCAAGAGAATTTTTAAGGACTTATGATAAAAAAAATGCTATTAATCTCCAGAGAAAGAACTGATGGAGTCTGAATGCAGATCAAAGCATCCTTTTTCTTTTCTTTCTTTATTTTGCTTGTTTTTTTTAATGCTATGTTTTCTTTCACAACATGACTAGCATGGAAATCTGTTTTGCATGATTGCACATGTATAACCTATATGAAATTCCTTGCCTTCTCAAGGTAAGTGAGGGCAGAGGGGGTAGAGAGAGTTTGGAACTCAATTAAAAAAGGAATGTTAAAAATGTTTTTACATGTAATTGGGGAAACAAAATGTTAATTAAATTTTTTTTAAAGTGTTAAATAAATGCTAATTTCATGATTGAATATAGTATTTATAATAAGCTAAAGTTTTGGTTGTGTTTTGTTTTTGCTAAATTAACATCTAGGCCATGAATTTAACATTCTGTCTTTCTACCCGTCTCTGTGGAGAATAGCAAAGAAAAAGGAAATTCTTAGTTATGATATTTATTCTTCTCAACACATATGCAGACTTATTGTCCCACTTCTTTCTATGTTGCCTCATCCATAAAACCAATTTTAAAAAAAGCACTCTCCCAAAGGAAACATGTTTTTAAAAAATGAACAAATTTATGGAATTATGTTTTGTTGAAATCTGGTGTTTTTTTAATTTTAAAAATTTTTATTCTGAGTTATCTTCATTTTCTTCTTTCTATTTTAAATTCCATTATTTTTTTTAAAAAAAGATTCTTTCTTTTTCTAGTTAATTCTGTTTAGACTTCCAAAAATGCTAAGCAAGCCAGAATTACTCTCGTGTGATTCTTACCCATACAATGTACTCAAATATACTTAATGTATTGATAACCTTTCTACAATGGCCAATAGTGTGGACACTCAACTTTCTCATTTCCTGGCATAATTGGGGTCTTTGAATAATAAGTCAGTGGGAAGTGTCTCAGGACATTTTTCATTAAAAAACAATGTCAGTAGGTCAATTGAAGTGCTTGTCTACAGGCAGGAAAATCAACTCCATTCTCACATGTTTGGTTAAGTTTATTAGCTAGAATTTATTTAGAAGGAAAAGAAACAGATCTGTATTAGATGGCATATTTCATTCCATTTCCATTCATTTTTTTTTCTTTTTTATGTTCCCAAACCTTAGAACCTTAGTGCTGACAGAGTAATTAATAAATGCCAGGTGATGAGGATTTCCAGAGTTTTAAGACAGATGTGTATTCTAGGTATATATATACACACACACACATATATATAAAATATATATATATGTACACACATATATAGATACATACACACATATACACATATATACATATACATACAAACATATACATATACATACAAATATTATATGTATAATATATAATATATATATAATATATATATGCACATATATATATATAATGTCCAAGATAACTAAGAATAAGTCCTTTCTAAGGTGCCCACATATTAAAGAGAACACATAAAAAATTCATTTTTAAATGACATTTGATGCTAATATTGTGATATTGTAATTCTCCCCCCCATTTTCCTCCTTAGGAGTGACAACTGTTCTGACAATGACAACCTTGAGCATAAGTGCTCGAAACTCCCTCCCCAAAGTAGCTTATGCAACCGCTATGGACTGGTTCATCGCTGTGTGCTATGCATTTGTCTTTTCTGCCTTGATTGAATTTGCCACAGTCAATTACTTCACAAAAAGAGGTTGGGCATGGGATGGAAAGAGTGTAGTCAATGACAAGGTAAGTGACAGCTACCTTTACATTAGCAACTTGCCACATTAACCCCAAATGAACCCATTTGTAAGATATGGTTTATTATAGCTATAAATTTAGAAGAGACAGTGTTGTGGAGTGGAGCTTTAGAGTCAAAAGTATCTGAGGAAAGTCCTTCCCCTGACATACTAGCTATGAGTCCCTGGATAAGGCACTACACATCTCAATTCCACATGCAGTCCTCTAAAATTATAAGTCATAGAGTAGTTGCTGATCTACATGGATGGAGGGAATTTCTATATAGGAGTACTCTTTAAACAGTATGAAATCATAGGTCTAGGGAAATATACATTTGTATACATAAAAACAATATATGTATACATATGTAATACATGTGTGTATACATAATGTAGAGCATATAGAATATATAATGCACATGTACATTTAGATAACACATACATGTGGAGATATATATCCATAATTATATACATATATGTGTGTATGCATATGTGTGTGATAAGACTTGTAAATTCATTGATAAAGGGGACTCACAGTGAGAAAACTGCATGTTGGATTTCACTTGTGAATTTATTGGTAAATCTACCCATGTAGACTGAATCAATGTTGCCAGTTTATAGTCTCAGGGACTTAAGCCCTAAGTCTGTGCCAAGAAGAAAGAATGTATCAGAAAATTATTCTAAAGTTTTAAAGATGCAGATTAGCTGACATTTTTGAAAGTTTACCATTAAAAAATCTATTCTTAGACATGCACACAAGGATATAACAGGTATGATTTTATTATAATAAAATAATTATTTTATTACATGATTCATTTTTTAAAAATTTTCATTTATAAAATCAAGTTTAGCTGCTAATAAAAAATAAAGTTTTATATGAGAGGCAGCACAATATGGTATATAGAGAGACTCCTCGGAAGTCAGGAACACTAAGGTTCAGATGCTACCTCTCACAAACACTGGTTGTAACACCCTAGGCAAGCTATTTTACCTGTCAAGGACTATACAACTCTCTAAGATCATAAGGTGCAGGGAGGTTGCCAACTTGCATCATTAGAGAGATTTTCTCACCTGCAAATTCTCTGCTCCAATGAAATTACAAGTTTAGTCACTGTCCCTATTTTAAAGTAAAGTTTAATTGTTTATAATATTTATAAAATGCTTAGCACAGAGCTTGGCACATGGTAAGCACTATATAAATATTAGTTATGATTATAGCTGTGCACCTAGGTAAGTTTATTATTTAAAACAAAAATATACAATAAATATTCGTTGACTGTTCAGTTATAAACAATAGGGTTTTTTAAAACTCATTAGACTAAAGAAATTAAAATATATCATAGATGTACAGGATAATGGAATATGAAGATCATGTCTATGTTTCAGAATATATGTCAATGCTCTAAATGATATACAATTTAATAGCTATGTGAGAAAGATGAGGAAAGTCAGGTGGAAATTACTTTCATTATGCTATGGCATGCTAGCTTGGACAAGTAGACCAGGCTTTCTCTATTCTTCCCTATCTTTATTGTTGTTCAGTCATTTCAGTCATCTGACTCTAATCCCATTTGGGATTTTCTTGGCAAACATACTAGAGTGGTTTGCAATTTCCTTTTCCAGCTCATTTTATAAATGAGAAAACTGAGACAAACAGGGTTAAGTGAGTTGCCCAGGGTTACACAGCTAGTAAGTGTCTGAGTCTAGATTTGAACCCTGTCCAGTCTTTGTCTGGCATTTTGTCAATTTTAAAAATCCCTTTAAATAGGATTTCTGCTCATCTATTGAAAAAAAAAACTAATTAACGTTGAGAATATGAATAGTTCCATATCTTCTGGAAATGAAAAATTATGAAAAATGTATTCTATATTCTTTATATTTCACTCACCTTTCTTGCCTTCTCAATGAGCAGAGCAAAAAGTGAAGTGAGGGTGAAGATTTGGAATGGAAAATACAAATTTGGAATGAAAAAAAAAGAAATTTTTCACATGACATGTATTGTAACCCAAACATTTTATTGCAACCATGGTATGTCAGAGATAATTTACTGTACTATTGTAAATATCTATAATCCTGAAATGAAAAGAAAAATCTACTTATTACAGTAAGCTCCCTTTCTCAAATAGCTTGGCTTCCCTAGTCATTCCATTTCCTGTGATTCTTCAGTCCCTCTTTCAAGTAAAAGTTTCATTTCCCATCAGTTCCCTTTGCTGATAAGCACTACATTTAAAGAGAGTGCTCCATATGAATATAATCAAGGTTCGAATTGTTTTCTTGGTCTTCAACCTAGTTGTATATCTAAGATGAAGCATGGAAAGTATTAATGAAAAAATCTCATAAGCATAGAAGTGTATTCATTGGACCTAAAGAAAATCATGCAGTGCAGCCATTGAAATCATGGTCTTCACCCAAAAGAAATGTCCATGTATTTGTTCTTTATTTAATGTTGTCTTAGATTTAGCTTTCCATAGGAATCAATATTCCAGTAAAAAACTAAAGTGTGTCTTATTGGCAAATGGTTGTGATATAGGGAATAAACAGGACCCATGAGCTCTTGGTATTGGTAAACATGGGTAGGAAAAGGTGGGTTTTTGTGGTTTGAAGGTCCAAATTTTTTGCAAGACTCCATCCAACCAGTATCCAGCTTGTATGCCTTATGAGCATTCTGGGAATGCTGCCGCTTATTCTCAATCTTTTGTTACATAACCCTTTAATACATCCAAACATGCTTTTTAATGGCTATTAAAGCATTGATACACCTGGGACCTTTCAAAAAGTTTGACTGACCCTGTTGACTACATTTTCCTTAAAGTTCTTTCTTTTTTTCCTGGGTTTTTATGACCTCCAAGCCATTTTGTGTTTATTTGTGTGTTTTCAATTCTATACTATACCCTCCCTGCCTGCCTTTTGAGGTCTTCTTCATTCTTCCTATTCTTTAAGAAAAAATGTTTCCCAGGATTCTGCTTTGCACCTCTTTTTCACTCTCTTCTTCAGTACGTGCTCAAATGACTTTAAAAGTAAATGACACTGAAATCTAGTGGTCTGTATCTCCGGACCACATATTTCTTTGGGAATTCTGACCTAGATTTTCACTTTTCCTACTAATTATCCTTACCTGAATTCAAAGGAAATATTTAAAACTCAGCATATTCTAAAAGAAATAATCATTTTTAACTCAAATCTGTGATCTCTTCAATTTCCAGTTTTTTCATCCATTACCCAAGTTTACAATCCTGTTACTTCTTACTTTGTCCTCTCAGTCATTTCCTATGTGCAATCAGTAACAAAATGCCATAGCATTAATCATAGATTTTTGAGTTAGAGAGTTCCTTAAAGGTCATCTATGCCAAATCCCATTTTACAAGTTAAGTACAGAAGCCTAAATAGATAAAATGATTTGCCAAAAGTCACATGAATAGTAAGTGGCAATCCTGGCATCTGAACTCAACTCCTCTGATTGCTAACCAGTGCTTTTTCCAGGGGATCACATCTCTCAAATATGACTCCCCTTTTCCATTACCAGTGTTCACACCCTGATTAATATCTTCCACATCACCTGCCTGGACAAGTAGATGATTAAGACACTTTAAACTTGCAAAGTGTTTTCCTCACAAGAATCTTATGATGTATATGTGAAAGTAGTATTATTCTCACTTTACATGTAGATAAATGGAGCTTCTGAGATGTTGTGACTTGCCCATAATAACAGTTCTAGAGAGCATCTGAGAGGGTTCAAATTCACATCTCCTGACTCTAACTCTAGTATTCAACCCACTCTTATCATTCTGGCTCACTTCCTAACTGGTCTCCCTAGCCCCTATATCTCTACACTCCAATAAATTTTACATATAGCTAGGTGAGAGAGTGGATAGAGTTCTGAGCCTAGAGTCAAGAAGATTTGAGTTCACATCCAGCTTGAGAAATTCCCTACCTGTGTGACCTTAGACAAGTCATTTAACTTCTGTTTGCCTCAGTTTCCTTATCTGAAAAGAGAGATAATAATAGCATCTATTTCACAGGGTTGTTTTAAGGATCAAATGACATAATAATTGTAAAGTGCTTGGCAGAGTGCCTGGCATATAGTAAGGTTATATAAATGTTAGTTATTATTAGGTTAATCTTTTTTATACATACAACTGGTTATTTTACTCCAATACTCAAAATTCTTTATCGTTTCCCAATTGCTTACTGAATGAAAGCACAGATTCCTTAAGTTAACATGCAAACCACCCACCCCCTTGCAACTTGAAGACTCCGTACCTGTCTGTCCATATCTCATAATATTTCTTTATATGCAGGGTACTCTCTACACTGACTATGCTATTTTTTTATATTACCTATGTTACTTTGAGTGAGTCAGTTAACCTATCTTGGCTTCATTATGCTAATCTACAAAATTAGAGTTAGAATAGACTATCTTTAATGGCCCTTCCAGTATTTTACCTCTTATGTGATTTTAGAATAGGTATAGTTAGAGATAAGATGATATAATGCACAGAGTGCTGGACTTGTTATCAAAGAATCTTGGGTTTAGTCAGTCAATAATAATTTTATTAAGTGCCTACTATGTGCCAGGCACTGTGCTAAGCCCTGGAGATTCAATAGCTCCAACAGAGGAGACCATAAGAAAACAAATATTTACAAACAAGCTCTCTCTCTCTCTCTCTCTCTCTCTCTCTCTCTCTCTCTCTCTCTCTCT